GTGGGTTGTCAAACTCACAACCCCGTAAGGGGGTTGTCACCGTATCCCATCCCATATGAGATTGCTTATACCTCTTACTATTAACACCAACTACATAAGGCACAAGTCAACAAAAGTAAAAAGAAAAAAAAATGAAGTAAATAATTTATTAATAATTTGTAACATGCTTAACTTTAAACCTAATATTTATCACTTTCTCCTATTCAGGTGATTCAAGTTAATTGATTATTTGGTCGTTTCTACCACGTCTGTAGACTGTAGGTAAAGATGGACTATCAGACTATGGATGATATGTCAACTTGCATAAAGACCAAAGAGGCGTAAGACGAAGCTAATATTTACATTTCATCTATGGCTCCACACGTAGCTATATACAAAAGAGCACCAAAACCCCCCGCTAAATGCTTATACAAAGCACTCTAATCTTCCATTCACCTCAGCGCTTCAAAACCACGGTCACTGCCATCAACCTTCTCCCTGAATGTTAACAGTCTATGTTAAACCTAAACAGACTACGCAGAATGTAGATCCCAAAACGACTTAAACAGACCAACTTCCTCTCCTCAATCTTCCATCACCAAGGCGCTTTCGCCAACTCCAGGAAGTCACTCTCAACACTACCACTTCCGGCAACCCCGAGTTTCGCAATCTCCTTATCGACCAGTTCCAGTTTCTCTTTCACCATCCGAGCTTGCTTCACCAAATTCTGCAGCTCCTGCTTCATACCACCTCTCTCCTTCACCAGCCTCTCGTACCCGTTTGCCTTATCAGCAAGCAACTCGAGCTTCCCCAATCGAGCGAGCAGGAAACCGACGTTCATCCCCAGCTCCTTGAACCCTTTCAACTTGCTGCCCCACGTCTCCAGATCTTTCCTTGGGACCACCTTCGACATCGCCCTGATGGCACCCGCAATGTCGCAGATGTCAGCAATCATTCCGCTGATGATCCCCACGTTCAGCCCCTCGAGAAGGTCTCGGTGCAGAAACGATCTCTGGCTGAGGCAGAGTTGGTAGTACTTGAATCGAATCAGCTCCGGCAGCTTGCCACTTATGACTGAACCGTTTGCCACTATCTTGAACTCCTCGAAGCACTTCACTCGTTCAAAGTCATTAGCATTGGATTTCAGCAACACCATGTTACTATCTGTTCCACTTTCAATCCCCGGATCCAGCTCAAACCTAACACCATCATCATCATCATCATCATCATCGTCGTCGTCATCCATTAAGCTATTGTTCTCACTGCTATCTTCAAATTCCACTATGGAATTCCCAGCTGCTGCTACATGAACCCAATACAATAGACATTCATTCAATACTTTACTGAAATCAGCAATCAACAACCACAGCACATATAGTAGAAATTTACCAGACTGAATAACATCCACTTCCTTAACGGCATTCACCCTCACAATGTAGGCCTGTGAACAAAGTGTAATTCCACATAGTTATTACGAAGCACACATTCTCCAAAAAAATCACAACTGCAGCCTGCAGGAGCTTCTAATATCCAAACTTCTCTAGAAGTCAAAAAAAAAAAAAAAAAAAAAAATCTAAACTTCTCTAGTACCCATTTGAATCTCTACTCCGAATCCTACCCCTAACGAAATTAGGGCAAAAGCTTGAATCCAAAGGCAATTAATTACCTTGAAATTCAATGGCTTGACAAGTTGGAAAACCAGAATATCTCCAGCAGCTAGGCCATGATCAACGGCGAAGGCCTTCCACCCACCAGCGATTACTAGCCCACGGTGGAGATAGCTGGCGGGGAACACTCTTCCCTTTTCGCCTTCCAACCTGATCTGTTTATCCGCAAGTGGCATATTCCGATAGCAGAATCTTTTGGGTAGCCGCTGTCACCCATGAAATTCCAGATTGTTCTACGAATCAGCACAATGCAAGACTTTACCAATTGACAAGAGAAGAAGGGTATCAGGAAGCCACAGTTCACTATAAACTTTACCAGCTTAAACCGAGGAGCAAGGTGGGAAGGCATCAAGAGCCTGATTAAAGTAGGGCATTGACGATGGGTCTTCTTAAGATTGGCTTCAATCTCCTTGGCCTTCCTCTTTATGGCAACCATAATCTGGGCATTGTTGTATAAACTAGCCACTGTCACCTTCGTCTTCCTCTTCTCGCGGAGTAAAGGGATGGTACTGGAATCAGGGACATCCAAATAGAAATAAAAGGTGATGGAATCAGAAACGTTAAACCACCCCAAGCATTTGGACTAAGTTAACGACGATGAAACAAACAGTCATATTACCGTCGAGGGCGGATCGGAAAATTGTCGACTTCATCCTCCTGCTTCATCCTCTGCTGCCGAAAGGGAACACGAAAAACAGAGGAGATGAAAGGAGGGTAAAAGCTTTAATGGCGGCGGATCACGGATGGGATGCTCATATAATCCGAAACAAATAACTGCCTTTTGGGTTCCCACCACTATACCCACGTTTCTTTTTTTTTATAGGACGTTTCTTCTCATTTCTACCATCTCCTTCTGGTAATTAATCTATTTCTTTAATCAAAATGAATTGATTAATCATTTTTTAATACATAAACTCAACTGTTGGTCACTCTGCCAATAGTGGGAAAGAACCAGAGTGTTTTTTTATTAATAATACAGAACCAGAGTGATTGTAGCAGGTTTATGAGCTAAAAATGATGTCAATTGCCAAGGCTTTGAATTCCCTGCCTGTTTATCAATTCTCATCACTAAACTATTGATCTACTAATCAGCTTACCAAAAGAAATCTCCTATTAGCTTATTAGCCTGTTTGGGAATTGATAGGAAATCATCATGTATTCAATCAGGTGTCAAGGGGTTGAAAGGATTTGACACAAATTTAGGTTGAGATGCAAAGGGCATTACCTAGTGGAAAATAATTTACATATATTAGAGAAATATCTTAGTCTTGTTACAAATGTTTTCATCACATCACATTAACGTAGAACTTTTTAAGTTTTGATAGCTTTTTTGTTAGGGTAAATTATTATTACTAGAGTCTAGAATTATTAAGACCCAAGTTCCAAAAAATTCGGAGTTACTTTCCATTACTAAATTTTCGAACTGATATTCACGGAGAAGCAATGATCAGCTGCATCCAGTCCTAGCTTAAACCCATGGATACCTCTTTGGGCAGGCCAAGCATAACCTTTGATTAATTAGTTGTGTAGCTAACATTAGCCGTTGGATTCTGATGTTATTCCTCCTCTCTCTGTTTCATTCTCCGCATAGACCCTTCTTTTCACTTTTTGTGCAATCAACTCTCCCATTATCTATCTTTTTCATTCTCCGCAAAGACCTTTCTCCCCTCTCTCTTTCGCAATCAAATTAAAGAAGACCATTGGTTGGCTTAGTCCGCGGTTCCTCTTTCCGGAGCATCGTTTGCATGGTACATGAAACTGTATCGTGTCGGACGGTAAAACTGCAAAAGCCGAAAATCGGAGTTGTGACGGTAGTGTACAACCAAAACAGAAGAAACCCCATACTGGACGATATTTTATATTTGAACCGTCTACCGTGATATACCGGACGATTGTAGTTGGACTTTCGGTACTAAAAATCAATATTAAGAAGAAAAATAAGACACCAAATCTCAAGCTCACAACTCCGAATATGTGATTATCCTTCACCGGCATGCTTTTTCTCTTCATAAGCATTGTTTCCTTTAAGGGCTGGTTTAGCCTTGCTGTAATTTTTGCAGAAGCAGCTTCTAGCTGAACTTTTTAGAGAAACACTTTTCAAAAAAAGCGATTGAGTGTTTGGTTCATTAAAGTCCTTCGTGTTCGAGTTTTATCCTACCCGATTAGGTCTGATTCGGGTGGATATCGACAGTTACGAATATTTTTGTCATCCCTAAATAGATGAATTTAGAAGGGATTTCAGTAATTTTAGAAGTGAATGATCTTGAAAGTATCAAAATTTTCATATGTGATTGATTAGGATATTTAGATTTGTTATCCGGTATTATTCTGAAACGGTACTCTCATTTCACCAGTACATTTTTTAACAAAAAATATTTTATTATTACAAAAACAATATTATACCGGTATACAACGGTTGAACCACGGTCGTATCACAAAATACCCTACCAAAAACGAATCTGGTATGACATCCGATACCGATATACAATGACACGTTGACGGGAGACGGTGGCGACGATAGATAATGCCGACGGACAACAGCGACAGCAGCTGATAACAATCTAGAAGAAACGACGGCTCCATTTCTCTTCTTCTCAATCAAGTGGAATCAATCAATGGCAGTTTTGAGAGTTTTGATTTTCCCTTCTTTGTCTTCTCTAAAGCCACTTAATAAGGATGAGATGTTGGCGGATAACCGCAACGGTGTCGGACGAGAACCGAATGAAGGGAGACGATTAGGCTTGGCAACGGGGCGGATCGAGGCCGGGGCAGGCCCATCCGTCACCCGCCCGATAGTATAGCGGGTTTTCCCTGAATCCGCCCCGTTAGCACTAGCGGGCTTTTTTTTAGGCCCACCCCCGAAACCAATGGGTAACGGGTTAGAACCCGTTATAGCGGGTTTACCCGACAAACTTTAAATCTGCTGAATCCAACAAAAAACCATAGACATTACAGTCAAATTGAAACTGAAAAACTGCATAAATTGCAGATGAAATCCATCAACTTGCAAAATCCAGCAACCAAACATCAATAATTAATCATCCAAACATGTTCGAAATTGGATTTCAACATCCATAAAGGCATATAGCCATAAACCAAACGAAAAAAACAAGTTCCAAATTGAACCAAACAACAAAAAAGAGCAGCAGTGGTTCTCTTCACCCTTCAGTTTCAGTCTTATCGAGCAGCACCATCATCAAGCAATCAGTCAGCAAACAAAATCCAGCAGCGCAGCACAAGTGCACAACAATCACCATTCACCAGCAGCACACTTCAATCTTCAATGTCCAAGAGTGTATGACTCTGGCTACCTTGAAAATCTGTGGCAATTTAAGGTACTTGTTAACTACTAACTTAAGATAATTGTTCATAATAATAAAACAGAGCACAAGTACCTTCTTTCTTAAACTCTTCACAACTTGGATCCTCCATTGTCATTGCAGAGAAGCAAGTCTCCAAACCTTGAATGTCAGCCTTTCCAGCATCTGCATATTCAAGCAGAGCATAGTTAACAAAACTTTCGAATATTTGAAATTAAAACAGACCAGGAAATAACAAAAATGAGAGCTCTTACCTTTGCAAATGTCACTCTGAATCCAGCTACGGGTGCACATGAGTGCCTCGACAGTTTCAAAGTGCAGCCTACTTCGATGAGGATCTAGCAGCCTACCACCAGAGCTGAAGGCTGACTCAGAGGCCACAGAGGTCACTGGTACAGCAAGCAAATCTCTTGCTACCTCTTGCAAAAGTGGGTATTTTCCAGCATTCACCCTCCACCAATCCAAAACCCCAACATTTGAACTTCGAGGACTAACATCCTCACAGAGATAATGATCCAATTCAGAGCATAGTGAAACTGTTTTGGACCTTTTCCTTCGGCTTAAATAAAGCTCGAAGTCAAGGTCACTAGAATTGGCCTTAACACCATTAACAGAACCAGAGGAGGCAGAATGGTCATCTCTGCCCTTTTGTTTCAACTGATACTCACGGACTATATCATAAACAGTGGCCTTAACAGTCACAGGATCAAGAGTATGATCAGAGCCATTGATCTTATCATAATAGTACTGAATCAGCTCAAGTTTGTATGCATGATCAAGAACAACAGCCACAGTGAGCAATATATGGATATCAGTCCAGTATTTGCTAAACTTGGCCCACATTTTTTCGGCCATTTCACAAATGATGCTATCAGGATAAGTCATCCACTCAAGCAGATTCAATTTCAAGTCACAGATCCTTCGAAAGAATATATTAGCAGTAGGATAATTGCTTCCAGAAAGAAGCTCAGAAATATTTCTGAAAATCTCAAGCTTTTTGCTAATAACAGTAGCAAACATCCAATCATCACTGCTAGGCAAGGAAGTATAGTTAGGTTCTCTCTGATTCAAACGAGTGAACACTTCTTTGTATGGAATTGCAGATTCAAGCATATGCAAGGTGGAATTCCACCTAGTAGGGCAGTCAAGTGCAAGTTTCTTTCCAATACAAACATTCTTTTGCCTAGCAGTCTCTTCAAAGAACTTAAGTCTCCTAGGAGTTGCAGTCCAATACACCACACTTTCCCTTATCTTTTCAATCCCATCTTTTATAATTTCAAGCCCATCTTTAACAATTAAGTTAAGAATGTGAGCCGAACATCTCATTTGGAGGAAGGAACCATTCAATAGAAAGTCAGACATAACCATCTTCCTTTTAATCTTTTCAATCATGGCATCATTTGTAGAACAGTTGTCAAGAGTGATAGTGGATAACTTACAGTCCACATTCCATGACATTAGGGCCTCTCGGAGCACACTTGCAAGTTTCTCACTAGTATGGGGGGCAGGAACATAGAGAAACCTGTCATACACTCACACAAACATCAAATGAAGCTCGAAGTCAGTTTCTGTTAAGTGTTAAACAAATAAACATCAAAGAAAGAACAAATTGAATAAGCAATTTACCTTAACAAGTGGCTCCTAAGGTTCCAATTGTTGTCAACATAATGAGAGGTTACAGCCATGTAAGCCCTCTTCTGATTACTTGCTGTCCACATGTCAGTTGTGACAGCAATTCTACCTTTGTTACCATCAATGATTTTTTGAATCTTTTTCCTCTCAATCGCATACAAGGCAAGAATATCACTCTTGCAAGTGTTTCTACAGGGAACTTTGAACAAGGGCTGCAGAGAATTGCAAAAATTTTTGAATACAAGTGATCCACCATACCAAGTGGATACTCGTGCATCAAAACCATAGTGGCAAGTTCCCTCCTTGAAACCTCTGCATTGAACTGACCAGTACACAGTTCTTTCTTTCCAATCAAACCATTAGGGAGGAAATTAGTGGCAATGTTTTTATGATTACCATCGTGAATTTGTTTCGGAACACACACCTTTTTATGGTTCCACAAATGAGAGGTACCATTGCTGGTGTCACCACCAAGAACCTTTCGACAGTATTTGCATCGTGCTTTCATTACACCATCTTTATCCACAAACCTTGTAAAGTGAGGCCAAACATCACTTTTCAGTGGACGTTTTGCCCCAAAAGGCAGGGGAGAGGGCTCTGACTCACCACAAGCAGCAGCACTAGTATCAGCATTGCCATTCACAGCTGCTGGTGCATCAACAGCAATCGCTGATTGATGCTGCTGTGGTTCAGGCAGGGGCTGAGGATTGGGGGGTGGGAGTGGGGATTGAGAATTGGGGGCGGGAGATAATTCAACTCCTTCCATTAATTACCTGCAATCACCCGAGAAAACAAACCAATGAACCAAATCAGTCGCTGCTAAATTCCTTGAAACCTGAAAGAACTAGGAGAATCAAGTAGTATTATCTTTCTAAGCTTCATTACTGATCAATGACAACCCCGCCACCAGAAACCCTAACATCAATCAACAAAGTCCCGAGGTATTAGACAAGTCACAAGAGACAAGTTGTTAAAAATAATCTTGCAAATCCCAGAGGTCAAGGCTAAGAAGAACACTTACGGTTGTGCTTCCTTCACCTTGCAGTTGCAGTGAGCCAGTGACTGGAAATCGCAATTGCAGACAGCTGCTAGCTTACTACTTCTCTCTGAGTGATCTACTTTCTGAGAATCTGCAGCAAAAAAACTCAAGTAAGGTATTTATAGCGCATGCATGAAGGGGAAAAAGAAGTTCCTATCGAACTCGAAGAGTCGATAAAGGGAAAATGGCGCTGTAATCGCCATCGGGAATGGCTCGATTCGAAAAAATCGAAGGGTTTGCTCTGATTGATTGGGTATTTGCTCTTAAAAACAATGAATATAATGATTTTGTGCCGTTTTTCTCTACAATCGAAGAGCATATTGCGAGATTTGAGAAGAAGAAGAAGGGACAGGGTTGGGGATTCGATTTTTTAGAGTGACGCTAGGGTTTGTAAGGGGATGAGATTTTTTCGCGAAATGAACTGGGGACTGGGGTGGATATTCAGAGGGGAAGCGGGTTTCGGGTTCTCTCGGGGCGGATATTCAGAAATCCATCACCGCCCGACAACCGGTTGTAGCGGGTAACGGATTCCCCGCAAACCGTCAACTATCCGTTTGACCGGGTTTTAACCTTCACCAACCGGGGCGGGTTCGGTCGGGCACCCGGAATTCGGGTTCAATTGACAAGCCTAGAGACGATGGCGGCGACAATCAATTGATTAAGAATTAGATTTCACCATCTCCCCCCCCCCCCCTCTTCTGAGCTGAAAGAAAAGTCTATGTGTGACGCATGATGAAATGTCGGGAAGGAAGGCCCCCGAGGCCCTACTGTAAATATCGAGTAAACCCCAGAAGAGGTAAGATGAAACTCAGTTTAAATTGAGAGAAAAAATAGAACCGACGATTGTCGTTCTTCCATTCTTCATCCGAGGTAATAGAAACGGTGAATGCAGTTCTTTTTTTTTCAATCAATTGCATTTTCTGGTTTTGTGAATCTTGGCGGCCTCCTTATTGGGAATAGGTCAGTATCGCTCAGGCAATTGGTTTTCTAGAGTTTGAAACCCCAGATTCGATAGTAGCTATCATCAAATTGGAACATTGGTTTTCTCAAATGGTACTCTTGAAGATTGATTATACTGTCTATGCAAATTGTGGTAGATTTGGTGATTTGAACCGACTTGATGTCTGCTTTTAGCCCCATTTTAAAGAGGTTTCCCATCTTTCCTTCCTCAGAAACAACCTTTGTTGCTGGTTATTGGTTTTATTCATCATATGGTAAAATGGAGAGATGCAAATCAAGGCTTGTAGCTAAAGGTATCAATCAAGTCTATGGGATAGACTTCTTGGACACATTTTTACCAGTTGTCAAAATCAATAGAGGGAAAACTCTCTTGGCAGTAGCAAGTGTTAAGAATTGGGTTTTAGAGCAATTGGATGTTTAAAATGCATTTTACATGGTGAGTTGCATGAGAAGGTGTATAAGAAGATGCTCTTAGGGGTTGAAGTTTCTAATCCAGAAGGAAAGAATCTGGTTTGCAGGTTGAAGAAGTCATTAATATGTGGCTTAAACAAGCCTCTAGGCAGTGGTTTGCTAGACTTGTAGGTTTTCTTCTCAAAAATGGTTTTGCTCAATCAACTTCTCACTATTCTCTTTTCTCAAAGTGGGTGCATGACAGGGTGGTCATCCTACTGGTTTATGTAGATTATATAATACTAGGACTCTTGAAGTATTTCTTGGGTTTGGAAGTTGTGAGAAGTGGAAGTGGTCTGGATGTATGTCAAAGAAAATACTGTGTGGAACTTCTAAAGGATACATGTTACTTGGAATCTAAAGGATGCAAGTCACTTATGGATATCAAAGTGAAACTTACTGCTCAAGGGTCACCTCTAGAAGATGGAGAAGCCTATAGAAGGCTTATAGGGAGATTGCATTATCGGACCATTACCAGGCCAGACATTGCTTTTGTTGTCCAACAACTTTGTCAGTGTTAGAAAAATCCCTATCATGAACATACGCAAGCTGCCCATAAAGTATTGAGGTATTTAAAGTCTGCACCAGATCAGGGAATACACTTCAACAGTAATAATGAAATGAAGCTGACATGATATTATGACTCAGATTGGGCTAGCTGTCCTGATACGAGGAGATCAACTACTGGCTATTGCACATTCTTTGGTGATTCATTATGACTTGGAGAACAAAAAAGCAAACAACAGTTTCAAGATCCTCTTCTGAGGCAGAATACTGGGCATTGGCTCACATTGTATGTGAAGTGCAGTGGCTGAAGCAGCTGCTGGGAGAACCGACAGTGAAGCTACCTTTACATATACCAATTTTCAGTGATAAAAAATCTGCAATTTATATTGCAGTGAGCGAACAAAGCATATAGAGATAACGCCTAGCGTCTTTTTGAACATTGAATTTATCTTACATGTATCTATTAAAAATTTATTTTCCACAACTTAAATCTACCTAACCTCCATTACTCACCCACTATCTCCCTTCCTTCGTTCCTCTTTCTCTCTTCCCTCTCTCTTCTTCTCCCTCTTTAGGAGGTCAGACTGTGGGGCTTTCTGAAGGCCGTTTTGAAGCCCGGACTTAGGTCGGACTGGGTTCAACCGGGGATCCGATAGGGGGTTTCTCTTTTTTGTCTTTAGGTTGGGAAGAAAATTGAACTCGAAGTGTTGTATTGTGAGTGAGCTTTATCCGCTTTTGTAGTTGGCAGGTTGGACCAAGTGTTAATTTGTTAAAAAATTGTTCAAAGCGAGTTGAACACGTTGTTGACAATGTTTAGATACGAAAGCGAGTTTTGTACTCTTTAATGCTTCTTTATTTCTCATTTTCCTTTTCGTTGAGAATGACAATTGAACTCAGACCCATTGTTGACGTGTTTCATATCGAGAGCGAGTTTTATCTGCTTTTGTAATTGACAGGTTGGGTAAATTGTGAATTTGTTAAAACTGGGTCGACCCTTTTAAAGCGAGTTGAAGCAATGTTGAGAGTTTGTGGTCATGAGCGAGTTTTATCCGCTTTAGTATTTTTTATATCCTTTTCCTTTTGGTTGAGAATAACAATTGAGTCTGAACGCATGGGTATACAACCTAATTTGATTTGACCAAAGTGATCTGAACCCGTTTTACATGTTTTCGGCGGGAGTAGTTTTATCTGTTTTTGTAATTGGTGGGTTATGCCAGGTGTGAATTTGCCCAAAACTTGGTTCTACCAAGTGACGAGTTTTGAGCGAGTAGCGAGTTTTAACTTTAGTGTTTTTCATTTTGCTTTTTTCTTTTGTTTGAGAAAGACAATTGAACCCAAATCCATGGGTATCCAACATAATTTGACCGATCAATGCGAGTTGAACCTCCACAAACCTGCAATCAGTCCAAATTTTTTATAAAGGAGAACCATGATTACCTCAAACCAAAAAAAGAAGAAAAAAAAAAGAGTACGACTATGTTTGGTCCGAATTTTAAAAGTTTTAGGTTTCAAAAGTTGAAGCCAAGCCAAACACTTGTAAAGTTTCGCTTTTTAAAAGCCAAAGTTTTTTTTTTTGTAATTTAAACTCGGAAGCTCCGATTTGAAAATACAAAATTGTCCTTACCATATATTATTCTTTTTCTAGAAAACATAATTTCCTTTCATTTATATCATTATAAAAAAATTAATTGAAAAATAGTATTATTTAATATAAAATAAATCTAATGTGATTCATTTTAATTTTTAGAATTTGTATATTGTTAGATTTTTTTTTGTCATTTTACATGACCTCTTATATTAGAAAGTAATTCTGATAGTTTTTCAGCTAAACACTCAACATGTTTTTTAAATACTTCTTAAAAAGATCAAGAGAAGCTGATTTATTCTGCAAAAGTTACAGCATGATCAATTACTAGCCATACAAATTGAAATAATAGCGTCATGAAAGAAATTTAAATATAGATAATCCATTCGACGACCCTTCTATCTTATGTAAGTTCATCGATCATATGTTATTGTAGATAACAAACCTATGAAAAGAATGATTAAGAATGAAACAAGATTATTTTCACTTTTGGGTCAATTTTAAAATTATTACTCTTTGAAATATTTATTTTTCTGGTACGCGAAACGATAGAGAGCGGGATTTTAAAATTATTACTCTTTGAAATATTTACTTTTGGGTCAAAGAGTACCAAAATTGCTATTTACAAAAAAAAAAAAAAAAAAAGTACCAAAACGCCCGCCAAGTTCTTCAAAGAACTCCAATCTACGAAAGTACCCCAAACGTATTCACTTCCTCAAAATTAACAGTCTATTTTAAGCTTAGCACAACTTCCTTACCAGACTACACAAAATCCTGGACCCAAAGCGACATACACAGTCCATTTACAAAACGCCCCAAAAAGATACCAGCTTCCTCCCTACAATCTTCCATCACCAAGGCGCATTTGCCAACTCTTGGAAGTCACGGTCAATACTACCGCCACCCACAACTCCTAGCTTATCAATCTCCTTCTCAACCCGTTCAAGTTTTTCTTTCACTCTCCCAACTTGCTCCTCCAAATTCTGCAGCTCCTCCTTCATACCATCCCTCTCCTTCATCAGCCTCTCGTACCCGTTTGCCTTGTCAGCAAGCAACTCGAGCTTCCCCAATCGAACGAGTAGGAAACCAACATTCAACCCCATCTTCTCATATACTTTCAACTTGCTGCCCCAAGTCTGCAAATCTTTCTTCGGGACTACTTTCGACATTGACCTGTTGGCATCTGCTATGTCACAGATGTCAATAATCGTTCCGGCAATGGTCCAGATGTTGAACCCGTCGAGAAGGTCTCGGTGCAGAAAAGATCTCTGGCTAAGGCACAGGTTATAGTATTTGGATAGATGGAGCTCAGAAATTTTGTCATTGATAACTGAACCATTAGCCACAATTTTGAAGTCTTGGAAGCGTTTCACCCGTTCGAAATCATCAACAATAGGTCCTGTCAAGTCTGTATTACTATCACTTAGGTTTTCAAAACACGTATCTGGCCCCAACCAACCATTACCACCTCCATCATCATTGCCCACATTATTGTGGTTGTGATCTTCCTCGTGGTCCAGTAAGCTATCATTGGTGTCATTGTTTTCTTCAGTTCCTCCTGCTAAGGAGCTTGCCTCTGTTTAAAACCAAACACACAACAACATTCAACGCTTCACTTGGCAATTAACAACCAAATATTAAGCGAAAATTTATTTATACCAAGAACTTACCATGCTGAATAGCATTCAACTTCAGGAGGCGCTGAGCATCCACTTCCTCTGAGGCGTTAGCCACTTCCTTAGAGGCATTTGCCCTCACAATGTGAACCTGAGCAAGTGCTATATATAATGTCATACATGCATATGTTTAGTAGGATCATTCAGATGGGTGGGAGTTAAATGGGTTGACTGTGTAGTAAGGAAAATTTCCTCATCAAAATGGTTGATTTGGGTGAGGTTATTGTTAGATTATGTTCTGAAAGTTGGAGAGAAATGAAAATAGAGATTTCGGACTGTGAATTCATTCATTTGAACCAGCCATCCAAACGACAGAATTACCAAATTCCTTCACTCGAAAGAAGATAGAGCCATATTTCCAAAATAATAATAGGCCACATTTGGTTGTTGAACTTTCTGGTACCCCAACTTCTCCTATCAAATTGAACATCGCGTACCTGGAATTGGGATGGAGGGATGAGTTGGAAAACCAGAGCATCTCCGACCTCTAATTTGTGATGAAAGGCGAAAGCTTTCCACCCTCCACTAATTGCGCGAGTACCACCATTGTAGTCAACAAGGAAATCTTCCCCATTTCCCACTTTCACCCAGAACGACTTTTTACCCTCGGGCATATGCTCATTGCAGAACTTTTTCGGTAGTTTCTGTCACATTAAGAAAGGAATCCGGATTGTTATATCAATATAAAGAACATGAACGGATTGCATTCGCAGTTTCACACTGACCCAGCAGCAGAGAGAATCGACAAGTACCATGCTAAAGGCGCCAGGAGCGAGGTCCGTGCACGACATGAGCTTGGTTGTGGACTTGTGGTGATCAAGGTAGGATCATTTCTTTTGAGACTGGCCTCAATTTCATTCGCTTTCCCCTTTACAGTATCCTTAACTCGGTGGTCAATGTCGTACAAACTCTTCTTCTCTGTCGTCTTCCTTCTCCTCTTCTGGCTGAGAAAAGTAAAAACAGCAGCTCCCAGCATTAGGAATTTATAAACCCAGCAAGCAATTTGAAAGTTAAAGAAGGACGATCGATGTAGCAACTGTGTCTACCTTGTAGACTTGGTGGTAGGGGAACTGTCGACACCTCCATCCTGTCAAATGTTAACAAATTAGTTAGCTGCTAAGGAACTCTATATTGAACCCACAAGAAGAAACACAGCACAGTAGGTAAATAGAAACAAAAGGAGTACTGGGTTTTAATCTCGCCTGCTCCATCTTTTGACTGCTAACAGAAACTATGTTCTTCGTCCTCATCCTCTGAACACGGAAGAAGAAATCAAATCAGCAATAGGTTTTCTCCAAGGTTTCCCTGAACGAAGAAACCCTCTCAGCGATATAGGGGATGAGAAAATTGCTTACTTGCTCGACTTGGAGCTCATCTAGGCCTTCCTCCAGAAGATCCCCTTCAACTTCATTTTGGCTTCTGCTATGCCCTAATGGGTCCATTGGGGCCTGCTAGGACCAGAAATCTTAATCAAAAGCTTGAATTTTGAACAGGGTAGAGACAGAGAGGTGGAGTAGTTAGATACGAACCTTTGTTTTTTCTGGAACTGAAGAAAGCCGCGGCGGATGGTAAGTATGTACGTTGAAGAATTGAGGAGAGTAGTTCAAAATAGCAGCAGTTTTGCTGCAGCAATTCCTCTCACGGTCTCACTCACCTACACATAAAACTGGTAGGAGTTGGGACAACCTTTGCGGTTCCGTCGCGGCTGGATGACCCGTGACCCACTGACCGGTGTCTGGACTCCATCTCCATCTATTGGCTTAAATGCCGCCGTTTCGCCCACTAAGATCATCTCCATCAAATCATCAATGCAATTGTAAAAGAAATTGTATTTGTGCTTTTTATTGTCAACTCAAAATTTTTGCAATTCATATCACATTCATTTCATTCACCCACATCAATGCAATTAACTTGCAATTGCAAATGTAATTAAATATTATGTTTAAATGATAGAAAATTAAGTAAAAGAGAAAAGAAATAATATAAAAATCCTCATTTTTTAAAACTTTTTTGACTTGCATATGAAATTGCATTTGTTGCAAGCTTGTAAATATGCAATTGGTAGCCACATCAATGCAATTGATTTTGCAATTGCAAACACCTATGTCATGTCATATTACAATTGACAATGCAATACCAATGTGGATGCTCTAAGAAAACTAGGGAAAATAAAATGCATTTAATTCATCCACCCTTAGATATGAAACCACTTAAAAGGAATGATCCAGATTTGGTTACTCATAGTTATGCATCCTAAGGTTGTTCACCCTATCTAGAGCCGGCCTGCGTCGTTGAGTTGGTGTCCCCTTTCTATCAAAAAATGACGTCGCACCAATATGCTCTCGGTAAAAATCTCGGATACTACTTAAGTTTAACAAGTGGAGTATACATATCACTTAAGTTTGTAACAAGAAAATTATAAAAGCTACAATATTTAGTAACAAATCTAGAAAATAAAATATGACTATAAGAAGAGAATTAAAATTTGTAAATTTAATAAATATTGAACTTCTACAATATAATATTCAAAAATCACAAGAAGATTTATCATGGAAAATTAGACAACATCCGCATGATGTAAAGAACTAAATATAAAATTCTCATATTATTTCTATCAAGACAAAATTTATAAATATATTGCTTCATAAAGTATTTCAATTATCAGAACTTCATATGATATATTTTCTTCAGAGAATAGTTCAATTATCAGAACACATAATGATAATTGATTCTAAATTTTAATTTGAAATTTTGATTTGGTATGAGAGTTTTCAAAATAGGATTTCAACTAAATAATTAAAAATAATGTTTTTCTTAAGTCCAAAAGTTGTTTTTTATAATAAGGAAAGTAGAAGGACCAATTCTGAAATTTAGAAAATGAAATATTACAAGAATATTCTCTCAACTTTAACGGAATGTACTTAACAGTAATCTTAGGTGGTACGGGGTGCACATATAATAGAGTTCAGTGGCACGTGATAGGCTATTCTTACTTAAGTGGCATAGCTCTCTCCATTCTCAAACTTTAGTGGTACCCGAGGTATTTTACCTATCTACATTATGCAGTCAGTGACTCGCTCGCTTGGTCAAACTTGTCGGTTTTGAATAGAGGTGGAAATTTGTGGTCCAAGCCACCAATTCAATCCAATGCATCCACTTAAATATCCAACTAATCCAATATATTTAAATTTTATCCATTTTATTAAAATTCAATCGAATTGTTGGATTCATGGTTTGATCAATGGATCCAAATGGCAAATTATATTTTAGTATCTATAATTTTTATATTTTATATTATCGTACCTAAAATTTATTTTATACGAAAAATGTGAATGAAAAATTATATTTTGGTATCTAAACTTTTTTTATTATGACATTTTAATACCTAACTTTTCAAAATTTACATAGTAGTTCAAGGTTTTGGATGTCATTTGGATTCATGGATTAATCCACCAATCCATTTGATCCAATCCACTTGATCCATGGATACACCAATCCATTTGTCACCTCTAATTTTGAGGTTTTGATCATGTCCTCGCGGAGGCTTTACTAGGCTTTTGCCACTCCTTTTTGCTGATTTTTGGTGGATCCGGTTCGACTGGTAGGTCGAACCTGAGTCGATAACCTTGATCGGTTGAGAGCTGGTCTTTTGTGTACCCAAAATCCAAATATTTCACGTTTGACAACCCAAGCTCTTATCTAAGACTGAAAATTTGGTACCAGTATTTGGGATAATACCAAATATCGTATCGAATTTATCACTATTTGGTATTACCGAATATCGATTTACTTTTTAGGATAGAAAATGGGATTGGAATTCATTTTTAAGTGTTATTTGGTATTCGCGATTACGAGATTGTTATAATACCGAAATACCGATTAAAATAAAAAATTAATGAAATATAGTACACAACCGTTGGTTATTCCTTCCTCTTTTACAACTCAAAATCCCCATCCAACTCAATTTCGACTTTCCAATTTAAGTCACTCGTATCTCACTCAATCTCTTGCTAGTTTCATAACACCAAAAAGCATACACTCTCATTAGTCGTCTCTTTTCCTCCAATCAGTCGAATTAAATATTACAAATGACAAGAAATTGAGATGTCACCATCACCTCCCTTCTCCTTATCCATGCCATAGCTCTAGGTGAACTCGAGACACTTTGACTAGCTAGTCTCTTTGGCCTAAATTAGATTACATACTGTGTTTTATATATTTAATTATTAATTGCAAATACATATTGGGATACCGACAGTACCGATTGAGATACCGAAATATTTAAAGATTAGAATTGGGATACCGAATTAATTTAGGAATTGGGATTGATTTTAGAATGTAATACGATATCGGGTTCGGTATTTGATATCGAGATACCAATACCGTACTGATTTCCACCCCTATCTTATTCACCCAACCATCCAAAAGATGATTTATTATTAAAAAATCCAGATTTTAATATTTTAATTATAAATGGATTCTTTTTTAATGAATAAACAAGATCCCATTTGATTAATACTATTTAGGGTTAACACTAATTATTATGCAAACCTTTCTTGCATTCTTTTTTATTAAGCAAGTTTATTGAAATAGCAATAATTAGCCAAATGTTTTGTAATGCATCATAATATTAGCCATTTTTACATTATCGTTAATAATTTGTTTTTAGTTAAAATACTAAAATTTTGGAATGTTAACATCCATGTGTCTCTTCAAAGTGAATATCATGTTGTTAAGTCAATATTACTAACAAAATTCCTAACGAAAAGGTAACATTTGGCTAATTATTAATAATTCAATAAACATGACTAATAAAAAACAATGCGGGAAATATTAGATCTACAAACACTCTGTGGTACCCCACTGCATCCCTATCCCTATCATTGATCTACCATATACCTAGAGCAGCCAAAATATAACCTGACCACACTAACCCGCCTGATTGACCCAACCCACAACCCATGCGCAACCAATTTGACTACAAGTCAGTGACCCGACACCGAACCGGCAGGCAACCCTACCAACCCACAATCGTACTAGCCCGTAACATGATCAATCCGTAACTCAAGTTCACCCACAACTCGATCCATTGTGACCCGATTAACTCATAACTCGACTAATCCAACCTGAACTAACCGAACCTACCTGCTTGGCCCGAATATATATAACACATGATTGTTTCATAAGAGAAGGAATTCGATGGAATTTGATTCTAAAAATGATCATATTATTTGGAATGTGTTAGTCTCATTTTATTTTTTGTTAGGCCAATACTACGGTGCCGCTCTAAAAAGTGCGGCACCGGTGACGTTGTTTCCTATTGGTCCACGTGGAGCTAACCTGGCGTTGGCTGGTTTCATTAAACCTATCCAAACCAATGGCCCATTAAAAGTGGCCTAACCCAGCTACCCTAAACTAACAGAAAAGTCTGTCTTCGCGTTTCCACAGCCGTTACATTTGTTTATTTTTTCCATTTATTAATTTTAAATGTATTAACATTTAGTTGTTTATTTTTATTCTGAAAAAAGCCAAGAAAAGCGAATGTCTTCCTTGTTCAGTCGGTCGTCAGATTATGAAAAAGCGAACTGCTCTAGTGGTGAGCGCCACTGTCGCTGATCAAACTTCATATCCTCCACCAAAATCTTCATCGTATTTCTCCTCCTTCATTAATACAATTCGTTTGGTTTTGGAAGATTTAGAAAATGCAAAAACAGGGGACGACGATGACGAACGAACCAAAAGGGAGTTCCTCGATCTCCTTCGCCGGCATTCTCCAAAAGCACTCCGGTGACTTATTCGTGGCCGATCCCATCTCCAAAATCACTCCGGTGACTCATTGAGAGGCGAAGAAGTCTGTATCTTCACGGGCCTATGTCACCATCGAAAACTGCCTCCGCCATATACCAGACCAGTCTAGTTCAGAGAAGGGGAATCTGAACAAACCAATCCATCAATTGTCAAAATGTGGAAAAATTAATATGTTTGTTGAAATTCAAGGAACTTTCACAGGAAATCAAAGCACCTTTTGAGCCATACGATGTACAATTGAATTTGGACCTCGTTGCAATGATGCCTGCAGCTCCTCCATAGGTGCAAGTTCTATCGCTTCACAGAACGCAATGAACAGGGTTCTATCTTTTGGCACCAAAAGTTGGTGCCAATGAGATCCAACTCAATTGGCCGGGTATATATATATTGCTCTTAAGTTCTTTTTTTCTGATCAAAACACAAAACCAATATCTTTTTTTCCATGAACAATTACATATTAATCTTTTCAACAACAATGCACATTCCTACTTTTACAAAAGTCCAATGTTCAATTGCTACCACCAATTACGAGTATTGGAAAACTGAAAGACTCGGAAGGAACAATTGATGAGAGGATCAGTCGTGGATTTCATTTAAACGGCAACAAGAAAATGCCCAAAATACAAGAACCCTCACCTTTTCCTTGATTAATCTTCTAGGTGGAAACCCATCCAAGGACGAACACCCACCAGCAGCCACCTCCACACTACAATAGAAGATTTTTTACTTGCTTAAAACCATTCCAATTTGAGGTAGTCCACAGTAAATTATAGCCTTACCCAGTAAACAGAACAAGTATAAGCATTAAGCAATGGACGAAAGAGGCAAGGTCAGACCAAAAATAGAACAGTGAAAGAGCACAAAATACCCTGCAGTTCTTTACGCCCTGATATAGAAAGGGAAAACATGAATCCGAC